CGCACACGCCACACACGCCCGTGTACGTCAGGGATTCCATACCCTCGCCGCGACCCAAAGCTATCACACGAAGACCTGGAATAGATTAAATAAATGAATGAATGAATGAATGAATGAATGAATGAATAAATGAATGGATGAATGAATAAATAAATAGACAGTTTTACTAATATTCCCCTTGGGCAAGGGTCTGGCGTTCAAACTAAGGTGGCGCCCTGTGTGATGGATCATCTAGCCCTCCTACAGACCACATAAATCTTACAATAATTGAAAAAATAAACAAGTAATATGTAGAGGAAATAAAAAAGAAAATAATAGGTGAGGTGTTGGTGGGTAATGCGTAATGTGTAGTGTGTAATGAGTAGTAAGAAAAATAATAAGTGGGGGGATAATCGTAAGGATAAAGAAAATTAAACCTCTAACTGACAAGGAGTACGTATATATATAATTTTAAATATTAATATAATACTCAATATGTATATAACGCCATTTGACCAAACTTTTTTTAAGTATACTTTATTACTATACAAGCTGGTCTGTAAAGATTTTTTTTGTATCTTTTTAAATTTCCCTCGCCAAAGGTTTACATGGCGAATGTACATTTTTAATGGTGAGAGAATTTTTGAAATCGGCCCAGTAGTTTTTGAGTTATCTCAGTACATACAGAAATACAAAAATACAAATATTTCCTCTTCATAATATAATATTAGTATAGAGATATAGCTGATTCAAGACATAAATATAAATAGAATATTACACATTCAAAATATAATAAAATATAACCCACCAGTTCGTCCGATATTATAAGCTTCTGAGAGGAAGTCGTTCTGCTTGTCTCTGGTCATGGGGGCGTAGTTTCCGGCGCTGTCCACGTAGTGCGTGCACAGTGGTAACACCTTCTCTATGGCGCCCTTCACGAACACCTCCTCCTTCACACCGCTGTCCTTGAACTTGGGACCGCACTTCACCACCATCATCTTTGTCTCTGAACTGAAATTATTATAATTAACTAAGCATGTGATTATACCCTTAGTGTAGATTTAATATGAGAATTCTACAATCAACTAAGTTAGTGACTAGGATAGTCAACTTCACACATATCTTTGACTTTAAGTTGCGATGAATTAAGAAAAAATTGGGTTACGTGTTCTTCCAGACTAAGTTCTACATAAGTGCCAAATTTTAGCGAGATCCGTAGAGCCGTTTTGGATAGCTTCTAACAAACATCCATCCAAACCTTAACATTTATAATGTAAGATGAAATTCGTAAGTCACATTGGTAGTGGCAGGAATCGAACCCAGGACAGCTTATCTATATCTATACACTAGCTTTCGCCCGCGACTCCCTCCGCGTGATATTTAAAAAAAAAACAAAAATGAGTAGTTTATGTGTTCTTCCAGACTGTTCTTTACATTTACATCATCAACATCCGTTTAGGTTTCAAACGCTAAAAAAACATCCACCCTTCCATCCATTTAAACATTCGCTTTTATAATATTAGTATGATATAATAAAATTGATAATCTGTATGTAACGAAAACATCATTTTTGGCGGACTTGATGTACTTGTGGTATCGATTTTTTTATTCTCGTTTGTTCCAGGTAATCTCCCAAACGGATGGACCGATTTTAACAGGACTTTGTACGAAAGGTAGCTGAANNNNCAGTAGTTTTTGAGTTATCTCAGTACATACAGAAATACAAAAATACAAATATTTCCTCTTCATAATATAATATTAGTATAGAGATATAGATGATTCATGATATAAATATAAATAGAATATTGCACATTCAAAATATAATAAAATATAACTCACCAGTTCGTCCGATATTATAAGCTTCTGAGAGGAAGTCGTTCTGCTTGTCTCTGGTCATGGGGGCGTAGTTTCCGGCGCTGTCCACGTAGTGCGTGCACAGCGGTAACACCTTCTCTATGGCACCCTTCACGAACACCTCCTCCTTCACACCGCTGTCCTTGAACTTGGGACCACATTTCACCACCATCATCTTTGTCTCGGAACTGAAATTATTATAATTAACTAAGCATGTGATTATACCCTTAGTGTAGATTTAATATGAGAATTCTACAATCAACTAAGTTAGTGACAAGGATAGTCAACTTCACATATATCTTTGACTTTAAGTTGCGATGAATTAAGAAAAAATTGGGTTACGTATTCTTCCAGACTAAGTTCTACATAAGTGCCAAATTTTAGCGAGATCCATAGAGCCGTTTTGGATAGCTTCTAACAAACATCCATCCATCTAAACTTTAACATTTATAACGTAAGATGAAATTCGTAAGTCACATTGGTAGTGGCAGGAATCGAACCCAGGACAGCTTATCTATATCTATACACTAGCTTTCGCCCGCGACTCCCTCCGCGTGATATTTAAAAAAAGAACAAAAATGAGTAGTTTATGTGTTCTTCCAGACTGTTCTTTACATTTACATCATCAACATCCGCTTAGGTTTCAAACGCTAAAAAAACATCCATCCTTCCATCCATTTAAACATTCGCTTTTATAATATTAGTATGATATAATAAAATTGATAATCTGTATGTAACGAAAACATCGTTTTTGGCGGACATGATGTACTTGTGGTATCGATTTTTTTATTCTCGTTTGTTCCAGGTAATCTCCCAAACGGATGGACCGATTTTAACGGGGCTTTGTTCGAAAGGTAGCTGAATTAATCGGGAATGTTATAGATTAGTTATTTTCCTCACCTGAATGGTATTTCATGCAGCCTGATGTACTGATCACGGACGTGGTGGGTGTCGTTCTTCATGGCGGCGGCGAGCAGCGCGCCTTCTGTCGGCTGACCGTACAACGTCTCGTCGCGGATCTCCGCGTTGTTACATAACACGCCAACCTGCGGTATAACATAGTCGATTTGTATAGTTAACTAGCTGTTCTCGTGCGACTTCATCCGCATAAAATTATGAAAATTTCATTATGTTGTTTACATGTGTCAAATTATCAATTGCAAATGTCAAAATGACATGACATGATGTCAAACCATGGCAACCTTGCTTCCTTGATGTTGACAGCAACTTATGGTCTCTTTCCCACATTAGGTTTTTTATCCAATTTATTTACAAACAAAGTTTAATAGCTAGTATATATAGCCTAAGGCGTGAAGTAAGTGTAGGGCTTTTGATTAAAAAAAGAATTATTTAAAAATATGCTGTAATTACTGACATCTTAGGCAACAAAGAAGTGTGTGTTTACGCTTTATAAGTATAGATTAGTCAAGTATTTTCCTAACATACTCGATATGTAAATTATAATTCGTTTATCTATACAAATATAATAAAGCACACAAACACTACTATGTGGCGCAGGATGTGAGCAATCACGGCATATTTTTGAATAATACTTTCTTTAATAGAAAGCCCAACACTTACGACACGCTTTAGGCTATATATTTTCACGCTATTCAAATTAGGGGATATATAAATTGCAAAAACACCTTCTTGTGGGTGAGGGACCATAAACTACAAGATGCCAACATTAAGGAAGCAAGGTTATTATAAGTTATAGTAACGGTAATTTTGATTTTTGCAATTGATAATTTGACAAATGTAAACAATTAAATAAAATTTTCATTATTTCATGCGGATGAAGCCGCAGGGGGACAGCTAGTATACGAAGAAATTCAAAGAAATATGAAATCCCGCAGTACAGCATGAGTCATGTCCTAGTAGCTAGGCGCTGAACTAGGACCCCGTCTCTTAGGGAAGTCTGTAAGCTTAGTTGGGACGTTTACTAATATAAACTAGATGTAGACCTCCAGCATGGTCTGCACCGCCATCCTGGCGACGTCCAGGTCACGTCCCTTGTACGCGCGCAGCGCCAGCTCGCCGCGCGCGTTGTACCCCGCGCCCGTCACCTCCGCCAGGTGCCCGCCCGACGTCGACACCATCGTCACCGTCATCTCGTTCTTCGTTAGCGTACCTGACACATGTTTCAAACTAGATGGCGTTGTTCTCAATTTTGGAACACGTTTGTTTTATTTGATAATAGATGGCGTTGTTTTAAATTGTGACACATTTTTTTAAGTAGATAGAAATAAATATAAAAAGATCATACACTTATATGACTGTCGGCGAAATCGGAAATATTTAAATATCTAAGAAATTTAATCATAATGCTTTAAAAGGCCACTTAACCCTTAATTCTATAGTTTTCAGTGTAATGGGCAATTAAAAAAAATCATTTTCGAAAATATGACTACTAAAAAAATCGTTTTTTACTACAAAACACTTCGTCGGATAAAGTCCATTAAGATTTTCTCGTCTGTCAGATTGTAAGCGTCATGAGCGACTTGTTTATATTTATTTTTAATATTGTGCGGTAAGTAGACGAGGTATTTTCTTACCAGTTTTATCGCTGCAGATGACATTAACGCAGCCCAAAGTCTCAACCGTTGGTAGTTTCTTGACAATGGCGTTCCGTTTGGCCATACGCATCACACCCAACGCCAGTGTCACAGTCACCACGATTGGTAAACCTAAAATATATTCAATATAAAAACAATGTAACTTATGAGATTTATCTATTATATTAAACAGAGCACAATTTCATACAAACAATATTGAAATATGTTTACATGAAGTTACGACCTATTTATTCTTCAAGGTCATTTAATGTGTAGTTTTTTTTTTAATAATGATGTGTAACAAAAATATCAAAATTAAATTTTGTAGGATTTAAGGGATTTGTAATATTCTATGTGAGTAACAAATAAACTCGAAAACTACTAAACCGATTTCAATAATCATATAAATATTATAAATGCGAAAGTTACGATGGATGGATGGATGGATGTCTGTAGCCTAAACGGCTGAACGGATCTCCATGAAGTTTGACACAGGTTTAGAGCATAGTCTGGAAGAACACATAGGCTACTTTTTATCCCGGGAATAGTTGCGGTCCCCTTGGGATTCATTTAGTTTTTTTTTTAATGTTTACTCGATAATTCTGCAACGGTTCAACATCTTGAAAGACAAATATAAAGCATAGTCTACATATAGTCAACTTACTTTTGTTTTTTTTACTCTCTAAAGCTGTTAAAATCATTTAAAAATAACAAAGGTACCTTCAGGTATAGCAGCAACAGCCAGACTGACTCCTATAGTGAACATATCCTGTATCGCTTTGCCCTGCAGCCAGCCCGCCACCATGATGAAGCCGATGATACAGAAGGAGTACAGCGAGAGCTGAGCACCAAGAGTGTCCATCGACTTCTGCAGCGGCGTCTTCGGTGCCTCCTCCGCTTGCATCATACGGAAGATGTCCCCGAACTCGGAGCGCTCCCCAGTGCTGACTACTATACCCTGGATAGATGTATTTATTATTAGCTGTTGCTCGCGACTTAGTCCGCGTGAAGTTAAATAATGTAGCCTATGTTACTCCCTGATGACGTAGCTTTTCAAAGGTGTGAAATTTTTTAAAATCGACCGAGTAGTTTTTGAGTTATTTCAATACATATAAAAATACAAATTTTTCCTCTTTATAATATTAGTATAGAAGAACGAATGGACATCGAATTCGCCAAAATAGCGAAGACCGCTGCCTATAGATATATACATATGCAAATGTGTTGTCTATCTTTAATCAACAGTGAGGACGCACAGAAAGAATATGTCCCCTACCTCCGTCCCATCTCCGCCAAATCCATTTCCCATCTTTTCCTTGTACGATAAAGGTGGGAAGGGGAATTGTACTAAAATTAGGCCTCAGACACACTGAGGAATCGCGGAATTGCTTCCACTTAACGCCTGTATTTTATGTGGTCGTCGTATATAAAGCTGGCTCAACACAGTTCGTAACGGAACTACTCGTAATATGACCAGTACATGAATTTGACTTGACAGCGAAATTATAAAAACTACAGTTTGCGACAGCCCTAAAATAGCAGTATTTAATCTATCTTAGCGGATGTAGTCGTTTGTTATAAAAATACATTTTAAAACACTAACAATTGT